CTTGGCGTCGTGTTTGTTGTATTTTTTTATATATATAAAGATTAAATTCATCTGGAAAATTCACGTGTCAAAAGATCCGCAACAAAATTAATTTTTTATTTACGTGTAACACGTCAATTTCAGTAGTAAATTCGGTAAACTTGCGCAACTTCGAAGCTTAAATCCTTCACAACATGAAATCGTAATTTTGTAGAGGAAGGTCTTGGGCTTCAAAAACACAATTATTTTGGAGTTTTGCATTTTCCATTTTTGGAGGATTTTAAGGATCACATAACCAATAAAAAGTTGCGGAACTAATTTGACTTGCACAATAATAATAATTAAAATTTTTTAAAAAATTATAACAAGATAATGTCATTATAACGTCATTATTTAAAAAAAAATTTTAAATCAATTATCATCAAAATTTTTTTTATCAATTACCCTTAAAAATTTTTAAATCAATTATCATCAAAAATTTTTTTATCAACATTACCATTAAAAAAATTTTTTTTAAAAAAAAATGGATAATAATAAACGTAACAGAAGAACGAGAAACTTATTAAACTCATTAAAAAAGTTAAATATGTAAGTATTATTAAAACTGTTGTTTCGTTTAGTTCAAGCTCTAGTTATTATATATATATTATTTTTTTTTAAAAAAAACTATAATGCCATTTAAATATTTATGAACTAAACTTTACTTTTACATACTTAGAACTTCTTCAAAAGAAGAAAAAGAAAAAGAAGAAAGAGAAAGAGAAAAAGGCGATGATGATGGTAATAAAGACGATGGTTATGGTGATGATGGTGATGATGATAAAGACGATGATAAAGACGATGATAAAGACGATGATAAAGACGATGGTGACGATAGTGATGATGACGAAGAAGAAGAAGAAATGGCCACTTGACCTTCAGAAGTAGTGAGGGTCGTTTGACAAGAAGAAGATGTCGAAGAAGAAGAAGATAATGATGATGTTGAATTTACAATAAATTCAATCATCCCAACGAATCCAATGCCATGCATCGTGAATGGCCACTTGACCTTCAGAAGTAGTGAGGGTCGTTTGACAAGAAGATGATGACGATGAAGATGACGAAGAAGGGGAAGAAATTGAATTTACAATAAATTCAATAATACCAACGAACCCAATGCCATACATTGTAGATGGCCACTTGACCTTCAGAAGTAGTGAGGGTCGTTTGACAAGATGATGACGATGAAGAAGAAGGAGAAGAAGAGATTGAATTTACAATAAATTCAATTATACCAACGAATTTAATGCCATGCATTGTGGATGGCCACTTGACCTTCAGAAGTAGTGAGGGTCGTTTGACAAGAAGCGGTGTCTATAGAGTAAATAGACATTAAATACCACTTCTTGTCAGACATCCTCAGAATTGGCCTCACTACTTCTGAAGGATAAATTGCTTTTAAATAAAAAAAAACTTTTAATTATATAAATTCAAGCCAACCATTGCTTCTGCCAAGTATGAGATGATTCCCATTCCAGAAACTATTGTGAGGTATACGATCTATAAGATCTTTTACAATTGTTCCACTTTTGAGTATAAAGCGCATAATAATGATAATT